GACATTGTTTCGAGTAAAGTTTCGAGCTTTTGACTCCGTTTCTCTTTGCAAGTGCGTGTAAGAGTGGGTACTTAGTCTTAAGCCCCATTACTTCGTATATCTTTTTTTTGCTTTTGTGAAAATTGATATTGTGCTTGTATTGCTTGGAGGAAAAGATTGAATCTTTGGATCGAGAATGCTTGACTAAGTGTGATTAGGAGTTAAATGCTTGCTCGTTTTGTGCTAGAGTTTGATTTAGTTTCCTAGGCTTTTAGCTAGCTTGGCAATGTTCGGTTATTTGTGTGTGTTTGATCATAGAGACTCCGGTGAACCAAAATCCCTCTTTCCCCCTTGATTTCTCTCATGTTCTTGCGTGCTTAGTTAATTGTTTTCAATTGCTCTCATTTCGTAGATTAATTTATCTTAAATTCAAACCCACAAATTGCGAGTAGAATGTTTAGGACCTTTTTGGTTGTGTGACTTTGACGACTAGGTAGTGAACGAAGCTCCGAACAGTCTTCCTTTGAGAACGACCCGAGTCGGGTAGCTCGGTTACCACATGCCCAAAAATACTACAAACAATTTTTTAGCTTGGTACGGTTAATTTTAAAAAGAGTAGCATGATTAGGTGTTAGCTAAATTTTGACTTTATATTGAAATAATATTTAAAATAAAATAATTAAAGTTGATTTGATGAAAAAGTAGAATAAAGATGATGTCGAGTAATAATTAGTAAAAATTATGTGAACGAATGAATATTGAATTAAAGTTGATGGTAATGTGTAAAAATGATTGAGTAGTATTATTTATTTACATTAATAATATTAAAGATAGTGAGACTGAGTTAAAGTTGAGTTAAAAATTGATTGGTTAAAAATGATTGTTTTTTTTTTTTGGAAAAATTTGTATCCAAGCATGCAGTAATGGTATCACATTTCTTCCTCCGATAGAGGCCTATCGGTTGTATCGGATTGTAGAAAGACCCTCCGACCTCAAGAACGAATAATAGAGTTGTCAAAACGAACCTAATATAACACATAATGTAGCTCGGATAAACCGACAACAGTCATTTCGAGTTAGTTGGTCTCAGTAGCTCGGGTAAGTGGATCCTAAGTAGCTTGAACAGTAAGATATTAATGTACTGATAGCTTGAAAAAATTAAATGTTTATGTAGCTCGGACATAAAGTAGCTCAAATAACATGATGGGTAAACAACTCAGACATTTGACAGTGAGGTGTTAGGGGACCAAGTAGCTCGGACAAACCTCGATGTGTCCGTGGCTGGGACATAAGGTAGCTCGGATAACATGATGGGTAAGCAACTCAGACATTCAACAGTGAGGTTTTGCTCGGACAAACCAAGGTGTGTCCGTAGCTCGGATATAAGGTAGCTCATGTAACATAACATGTAAGTAGCTTGGGCACGGGACAGTTCAAACAACACACCAAATTAGGGCCAACTATTGATAGGAGACACGTGTAGCCCTAAAAAGAAAGAACTAAGGATGTTAGCCAAAGCTTGTTAAATAAGGGATGAAAAGTACTAAGGCAGTTTGGGCAGTTTGGGCACTCAGACAGGCGTTCGGGAAACTAGAGTTAAAACTTGTTTAATAATCCTATTATTCACTATAAATAGGTGGGAGGGATGAAAAGTAAAAGTTTAATCACTCTGTGCACTCTAAGCTTTACAATACAATTTCAAACAACGTTTCATATCCCTTTATTGACTTGATCATCAGAGGTTTAACGCTGGGAACACCGCCCGGTGTCTTTGTATATCTTCGGGGAGCAAATGGGTTAAAGGACCATCTGAAGGTCAGGTCGAGGCGACTCTAACAATGCTAGGAGAGCTTATTAGAAGAGTAGCTTGGAGAAGGTGGCAGAGGTTACAATTGCTCATTCAATGTCGGTGTTACAGTTTGGGGCTGAGGATTCTTAAGGTATTATGGTCCATCACAATGATACGTGGTGATAATAGTTGAAATTGCAAGTTATGACCTTCAGAGTATCTATTTTGCTATGGGGAGCTTAGTAAATATTATGTTCTACAAGGTTTTCGATAAATGGAGGTAGATGTTGAATTGCAACCAGTCAATACCTCATTATTCAATTTCAATGGAACTGAAGTGGTGCCTTTCGGGGAGGTCAATTATCAGTGACATTAGGAGCTCATCATCTGAGGAAGATTAAGATGGTGAGATTTCTGGTGGTAAAATCGTGTTCAACATACAATGTCATTTTAGGTCGGCTAAGTTTGAACTCATTCCAAGCTACGGTTTCTATGTATTGTATGAAGATGAAGTTCCCAGTGGAGACCTAGTGGGAGAGGTTGCGGGTGACCAAAGAACGGCAAGGTTTTGGTACCACACAGTGTTGAGGTCCGGATGTGAAGGAGGGAGCTCGGCAAGAAGAAGGGAAGCTATATTTTATATTCTTACACTAAAATTATTTATGGCAAAATTTTGCTTCCCCACATACTTCACATCTATGCTTAACTAGACCGGTTGTACATTTTTTGTTGCATTTGCAGCAAGTTCGATCAATTTTGGATACTAATTTAATTCATATGTTTTTTGGGTACATTTTGTATTTAGTTTGGTCAGTTTTGGGTAATAACTGCACTTATTCATATGTTTTTTGGGCACTTCTTATATTTAGTGAAGTTAGTGCTTGTTTATGCCACAACCCAAAAGATACTCTTAGTTTTTACAATTTTACTTGATTTTCTTTTCAACAATTCGAGTACAATTGATGCTAATATATCTTATTAATTTTTCCATGTCAATTTCAACTAATAAAGAAAACAATGCTTGTGTATAACAAGCAATGTATGTAAATTTTTTTATCAGAAAGATAGTTTTTAAAATATTCTAGTTTAAACTGTTACTTGATATTTTTTGTTGGATTTAAATATTCAAGACTAAAGTGTTACTTATATTTTTTGGTTATTTACAATCTTGCCTACATGAAGTTGTTCGAGTACATAACAAAATTAACGAAACCAAGAATCTATTGTAACGTGTTTGAAACTGAATAGAAACAGATTTTATTTTAAAAGCTAACCAAGTCATTTTTTTTTTCGATTTAATTCGGTTTGGGTTTCCAATTTGGATTATTATTCTATTTTTCTTAATAAAAATAAAATAATAATTACATACATAACCAAAGTATGGCTAAGCAAAATATTTTTGGTTCATTGTAAAGCAAATAGCAATATTCTTTTAATCGGGCCCAAGTAAAAGAAAAATAGCGAAATAAAAAACGGCTTTGACAAAAATCATAAATAAACAAAAAAAAAATACATAACAAGATTAAAATTTCGACTCGAATTTTCGGTTTTTTGTTTTAGTCATCTTACATATATAATTTGAATATATATGGGATGTCATACGCACAAAACAAATGCACCCTAAAGACAACCAATTTAGCCTAAATTTGTTCCTTAACTAACCTTTGAAATGCCTCATGGAAGGTCTGGCGAAAAAGTTGCCAATAGTTTAGTGGATTGGGGTTTGAGAAATTCTTTTACAACCACAAACAAATAATCTCATGTCCTATTTTTCAGAGGGAAAAGAAAATTCAAAGAGTGATGCATGTCATTTCCATACATTCCATCTCTTTTCCCCCCTTTCACTATACCATGCATATTTTATTTCTCAAATCCCCTCAAAAACAAAATCATCAGACATAAATCTGATAAACCCACACCCATGATCCTCTTCATGGTCCCAACGTTAATAATAACAACATTGATTTCAGGTTGTTGGTTATTTACTCCAGCAGAGGGCGTGATTGGAATAAATTGGGGTCGGCAAACGACTCACAGGTTGATCCCGTCCATGGTGGCGGACTTGTTGCTGCAGAATGACATTCGTCACTTGAAGCTCTTTAGCAATAGCAACAATGTCCTAAAGGCCTTTGCCTCGACTGGCATTGCCATCACTGTAACGTTGCCTAATGAGGCCATTACCAATATTAAATATCCCCTCATGGCCTCTTATTATTTGCAAGAGGGGGTTCTTCGCTACAGAAATCAGAATGTTGACATAAGGTTTCTACGCACATATATTATTTCTGAATTTAACCAAACATGTATTATTTCTCTTAATTAACTATGAATATTCCCCAAAACCCATCAGGTGCATTCACGTTGGAAGTGAACCATTTTCAACATATGCTCTTAAGAAAACGTACGACACTGCTCCAATTGCATTGAGATTGATTCAAGACGCGATTGTGGCAAATGGGTACAATAACCTAACGGCAACCATGTCCCACTTCACGGACGTCCTGACCCCCAACATATCAAAGCCATCAGAAGCCGACTTTCGTCCTGATTTAAAAGATAAAATGGTCGAGATTGTCCGCCTTCTCAACACCAGCAATGCCCCTTTCGTCATCAACATGTTCCCCATCTACTCTCTCATGGACCTTAACATCAACAATACCGAGTTTGCATTCATTGACAACAACTCAAATTTCACAATCGAGGATAACGGCTTGATCTACAGAAATGTATTCGAGTTTGTGTATGATTCAGCCCTTCATGCGCTCGCGAAAGCTGGGTCGCCAGGTAGATTAACATCGGGCTACACTACTTTTAATTAATTGTTTGGTGCTTTTAGATTTTATTAGAGTTATAGATTCGGGGGATGAGGGTATGGTTCCATAGGGATGCAGCACACCATAAGAGGGTGAGCCTAGGTACACATTAGTGAGGTTCCATCTCAAAACCGACTGGTGATGAAATGAGTAGCCCACAAGATTTATAAACTAGGTTCATTTACCCTATAGAATTAATGTGGGATAACTCACAAGTGATATTCAAACTGTTTTTAATGAATTTATATGATATGTCCTAGCATAGGCTTGAAGCTTCAGGTGGGGAAGATTGGGTGGCCCACAGACGGGTACCCGAGCGCGAATGTTATGAATGCTGAGAGGTTTCATCGAGCATTTCTGCCTTACATCAAGAGCAACAAAGGTACCCCACTCCGCCCTGGGATTTCCATTGATGTTTACATCCACACGCTCGTCGATGAAAACAAAAATAGAGTCAACCTTGCTGCTTTTCAACGTCACTGGGGGATTTATTGGACTAACGGGCAACCAAAGTACAAGATCGACTTCAGGGGAAAGGGACGGGACATCTTCCCAACCACCGCCAAAGGCCTCATCCGCATGCCTCAGAGGTGGTGCATTTATAACGGGGATAAGAGCAACCTGACCAAGGTAAAGTTTGAACTCGACCAAGCTTGTGAAAATGCCGATTGCACGACTCTTTCCCCGGGAGGTTCTTGTAGCCACCTAGACTTCAACAAGAACGTCTCGTACGCGTTCAACATGGCCTTCCAGGCCAGTGCACAAGCCGACGACATTAAGGGGGTGACGTGTGATTTTGATGGGCTCGGTGTTTTGGTGCCCAATGACCCATCCAATGGAACGTGTAAGTTCCCGGTTGAGATTCTAGCGGCGGAGAAAGCGGATAGGGATGGGCTCAGCAGTAACCATGGAGAAATTACCAAGAAATTAAGTTTATCTGAAATTACGGCATGGCTAGTATTGTCTATGTTATTCAATTTCTTATTGGGGATTGATTAGGGGAAAAGATTATATATATTGCACCAAATATAATCGTGCATATGATGCATGATTTGATAAAGTTTTGCTCCCATTTGTATCATTTCAATTAAACTAATAATAATAATAATGAGAGGTACAAAAAATAGGGAATTACCGATTACATAACTAAGGTTCAATAGATCACACACCTATATATTAAAGATTAATATGGACAAATTTTCATCACAAAAAATGCTTACTTTCAAGAAAATTCAACATGACTATAAAATGTGAAGGAAAAATTGTATGATTGAAATGAAGAAATTGAAACAAAAACGTGTAACTGAAATCCCACTAATTTATTATCCCTTGGGATCTAGATTCTCCTGTGTTTAGGCTCCTTCTTGAATGTCCTCCCACTAAATTCGGCTTCTGGACGTCTTCTAGTTGTAAATAAATATGTGTTCTAGTTATAAAATTCTTATCGTTTCGACAAAAAAAAAAAAAAGCAACTCAGGCTGGACTGCGAAACGTAAACCAACATGAACCTGGTCAACAAAAAAGGTATAACAACTCTCAGGAGGGTTCATGTACAAGTCAGAAGGACGTGCAGTGCGTAGCGCCAACCATCAGAAATCTCACATTAGGCATAAAACCTGGCGACCTCTTCTGTAGAAGCAAAACAGATCGGGTTTATTTCGGTTTTTTTGGCTACAACTATAGAAGATACAGGGTAGGATAAACTTACAAGGGAAGGGTCTGAGTTGGGAATGTGAGTGACAACGCGAGATAGAGCAGAAAAACGTATACCTTGAGTGATGACTGGAGACGTGCTAGGACGCCTGAGCTCGTCGCGGTCAATATCAACCTTGAGCTCGTCCCTCTACCTCCCAGAGGTACCGACTCGCTCACAAGGAGTCTCCTCCCGACCTATCGATTCTCTAGAAGATGACTCGATATGCGCATCAATTAGCTCGTCAATAGAGTCTGAATTTGAGCCAGAAAGATCTAACATGCAATCCGAAATAAATTGCAAATAAGGCCACATGAGACCGGACAAATCTGAATTGCAAAAAGGATTTTTTTGAAACAAAATCATAATACTTGAAGACATGATAACCGAGTCCCGAACATTACTCACATACCAAAAGCAGAGAAGTCGCAAAACATGTTGGGCAAATTCAAAACCAATTCTGCGACTGCCTTTCCCGACGGTGCCGCCGGGCTCCTCGACGGTGGTCGGTTCCTTGCTTGCGGCACGGCTGCAATTTGATGTCGAGGCCCAATTTCTCGAGCAGTGGAGCGGTCGGCATTCCCGGGTGGTCTTTGACTCCTGTGGCTGCCATCCTGGGACGAAGTCATCGATTTCCATGGCGGTGAGACAGAGGAGGGATGCAATGTTGAGTCGGGGACGGGTTGTGGCTTCGTTTGGCTGCCTCCCTTGTTCTTCTCTCCTCTGGTGTTAGGGATGGAGGATCTGCTGTCGCGCCGGGCCTGGCCGTGCCGTGGTGTTGGCTGGGAACAGGGTGGTGGTGTGTGGGTTGATTGATCTCCTGCACAGGGGTTGTGATCGGCCGTCAGGGAGTAGGCTGGGGTTGTGGGTTTTGACTCTAGCTAGGCCGGGTGTAGTAGTTTCTGGAGTTGAAATTCGGTCGTGGTCTGGTCTTTTCGGTGGTCGATCGTGTGTTACATTTGAGGCTCGTCTGGTGTGTGAGTCCGTTTGGGGGAAGGGCTATTTTCGTTGTTTTTGTCTATTTTGGGTTTGTATGCTTGTGCTTTTGTGTTTCTTTGTGTTTTCCTTTTCTTTCGCTTGTGTTATTATCCTTTGGGATCTAGATTCTTCTGTTAAAAGTTTGTATTATTATTCCTTTTGTATCTAGATTCTCCTGTTGGGAGTTAAGTTTATTATCGTGGGTGCGTTGTGGTATTTAGGCTCCCTTGGGATGTCCTCTCACTAGATTCGACCTTTGGTTGTCTCCTAGTTGTAATTATGTGTGCTATTTATAAAATTCCTATTGTTTCGGAAAATGTCAGATGTGTTTTAATATCTCAATTCAAACATTAGCAGTATTTTAATATTCACATAAAATTATCATGACGTTTAAAGGATGTGTTTCTCCTTTCTCGTTTGAATAATAAAATAATAGTAGAAAATAAACTAATTAAGACTTAAGTAATGATAAATGCTAGTTTTGTACACTGAATATTATGCTATAGGTTGATATAAGCGAACAATATTATGGCACAAAAAAATCTATGTAAAAACTTGGCCAGGTAACCACTCTTTAAATATATGACCATATAGACTGATACAACTAAATAAATACATTATATAGACTGGTACAACTAAACTATAAATCAATCAAAAATATTTAATGCACTTAACTATAAATAAATAAAAAAAATATACAATGCACTTATTATTCAATTTGCGGTAAAATAAAAAATATTTGTTGCACTTATTATGCAAATTAAAATATTTTTATTTGTTGTTATATATCGATACACATTTATTTTTTTTGGTTATTTGTAGCATGGATGTCACATAAGATTAATATACAACTTTTGACAAATCTATACTTATATTAAAGGGAGTCCTATTTACAAAATTTAGTAGTTAGAAAAGTCAACAGTATTTATTGTCATTACTATTTCCGTATTATACAGTTTTATTTAATATTTTTTTTCTGTTACGACTTTTAAAAACAGATATGGTCAAATTCTCTCATCATGAATTACTTTCCATTAATTACAATTTATTTATTTATTATTTTCTTAGCAAAAACGGACCAACATTAATTGATTTCCTTAAAATGTGGAAGTTGTTGCTCTATTTTTTTACAGAAAATTGGGCTTCATTATAGTAATTTGTTCAATTACACAATGAATTTTCTATGATATAATTATTTTTTATGGGAACTTTTTTTTTAACAGAAAAATATGGCATTTCAATAAGATTTTCGATTTTTTAAGACTGATCGTTATCATGCTATGAAATTGAACATTCCAACATACCTTAACAAAATATACACGTGGTGTATACATCAGTTAATAGAAATATAGAATCCTCATATTTTTTATATACGTATTAATTTTTCTATTACCAAATTTAATTGATAGTTGTTGTGTTATGGGTTTTTTTCATAATTGTTACTTGGTTGTTGTAATATTTAGTTTGGTTGGTGTCGCAAAAATTCTAATCTATATATATAATAAGAATAATCATTACAATGCAAATTAGAAAAATATTGATATTAGAAGAGATTGAGTTCATGGCTTTTCTTAAATCAGAGTTGTTTAATTAGTGTACAAAATTAAATTCTAATATATGTGTATATTTTGTACATTATTTATACACTATTTAATTTTAAATTTATTTACATATTTTAAATTGATTACTTATATAAATAATACCAACGTGCATTAAATATATTTCATTACATAAAATAAAAAGAACAAGAAGACGTGTAACTTGTATAACATTATAAATAATAATGACATTATATGGCAATAAAGTTTAATAATTAACTATTATATAGTGAATAAGAATAAGTAAAATTGTTGTTTTCTCTTATATCAAGGAATAAATATATATAATAAAATTAAATTTATATTAGTATAAATGTGTTAGTGAGATAATATATTAATTATTTTACAAGTTAGCCCTAACATGCTCACGTTTAATGTTCTGACTAATAAAACAACGTTGATTAAAAGATGTGAAAAATAGATTACAACCTAATTTTTTTATACTTAACGGTGATTAAAAGAGTTGGAAAATAGATGATAACTCTTTTCAGACTTAAACGAGACTTAACGGTGATTAAAATAGGTGGAAAATGGATAATAACTCTTCTTAGACTTAAACGGACAGAGCCTGTGAAAATAATTCATTTAATATCTCTCTCTCGTGCATCGCACGGGGTACGTACTAGTTTTAATACATACTCTTCAAGAAAATCATATAATATTTTCGATACTTTTAAACGTGTTAAGTATTATGTAATAAAATACTTTATATTGATAATTTCATGTAACTTTATAAGTTAAGAACTTACTTAAAAGAGTAAGTGAGAAAAAATATTTTAAATTATTTTTATTAGAAATATTTTTTAAAAAGTATTTAGTAAATGCTAAAAATATATACAACTCTTTCCTAATAATATGTGAGTTTGTTTTTTAATAAATTATAAAAGATAAATCTAACTAATATGCAAGTTTTGAATTTTTTTTGTTGCAAATTAAAGTTTTAATTGATTTTTTTACATATACTGATTATTTAATAATATAACTCAAAATATAAATAACAGTTTTACTAGTTAATCATGATAAATGAGATGCAATAAAATTATACGATATATATTAAAACTTTATTAGACTATAACTAAATATGACCAAATGTCGATTTTCACTTAATTTAACGCCAACTTTTGTTTTCTTATGCTTAAATGACATATTTTTTATGAAGGTGTTACTTTTATAAATATATAGATTTTATAATTTAAGATTTGTCAAAATTAGTTTAATGAATAAAACATTATTAAATATTCTTTTTAAAAAAATAGACAATACTAAAAAAAATTAGACGAGATTGTGATTTTTAATTGCATTAGTTCATATCGTTTAGAAGAATCTATATATATATAATTGCTAGCTAATAGCATTTAATAAAACATTTAATAAAAATATTTTCACTTTCCCTCCAAAAGGAGTTACATTTTTTTAATTAATTACTCATTAATCTCACATTTAAGAAGATTCCTTATAGTTAAATTTAATTAGTTAATGACTAAATTAAAAAGATTTATTTTATTTAATCCCACATTTATGTCAAGTACAGTATTATCGTAATATCTTATCAGTTTTTTTTTAAAAAAAAATAGTAACTTTTTTCAATAAATTTTATAAAAATTAGTTAAATGTGCTTATATTCATATAAATCAGGAAAAAAAAATCTTAGATATATAAAAAGAATATCGTTGAAATAACTTGAATCCACGAAAAAAAAATTAAACATACGTAAAAAAAATTCTGACTGTGATTAAATATAACAAAAGGGCCTTAATCGGCCTCTTAAAATCACGATGCGGGCGGTTCCAGTCCATTGGAAGCTAACCCTAATAGAAAGCTCATGATAGGAGTTTTTAAAAGAAAAAAGAAAAATCAAAAAAATACATATATTTACAGATCTATTACAGATCTTTAAATTTTTTGTTTATATAAAAAATTAATATTATATTTACTCATTTATATTTAGATGGTATTTTTTTTATTAAGAAGCAAGGACAATCTCTATCAATCAATAAGAGTCAAGGACAAACAATATAAATAAGTGTTTCCTATGCTATGACATGATCAATAAGAGTCAAAGATAGTCTCTGTCGCACGTCGGCTTACTACTGAAGAGCTCAGCATTTAGTCATAAGCAATTATACGTGACGCTTTTTAGAGTTACGAGTCAGTGGGGTTTGAAGATTTTGAGTTGAGCTGAGAGAGATTTTGACGATAGAAACACCACGACGTTGTTTTATAAAGAAGTGTTTAAGAATATTTATATTTTTTTCTTAATTTTTTTCAATGATTTTATTATGATTTTTTACTATTGTTTATAATTTTTATTATTTTTTCATGTATTATATAGTTTTCCGTGCAAATGCACGGGACAAAAACTAGTATATAATAAATACCACATTATACTAATTTTCAAGAGTTGTAGACGGATTACTACTATTGTAAACCTATTCACATTTTTTTTAGTTTACTATTGTTAACATACTCACATGTCTTTTGGTTTGCTTTATTTAATTAAAATAATATAGTTTCTACTTATTCATTAATTTAAATAATATTTACATTTGGTTTATTTAAATTAAAGAACATAATTTATAATTATCATTTAATGTAAATAATATTCAAATCGCTACAATATTTCTTTTATAATGACGCTAAAATTTGAGGGATAAATAAATACCACTCATTTATGGCGTTATTTTGTTACCAATCATCACACTGAAAATCCAATTGAGCTCAACTTTTCTATTTTTATAAATATAATTAAATAATATCAATCAATCATTCTCACATATCACATCCACTCCAATTCACTATTCATGTACTCACATAATTTTAACTACCAATAACTTAAAATAATTTCCCTCATACTCTTACATAACATCAACTTTAATCACTACATTTTAAATATTATTTAATTACAAACTTAAAATCATCCACTCAATCAACTTTATTCAAAATAATTCACTTTAACTAACCAAATTGGGTCATAACCGATTGGATATTCATATCTAATCACCCCATTAGTAATTCTACCAGTTGATTTTTCCGCCTCAAAATGAGATTCATCGACGCCACAAAAAAGTTTTTCTAACATATTTTTTTATTTTTTATTTTTTATAAAAATTATTCAATGTGGACTTATCACAGAATAAAATAAAGAGTAAACTATGTTCATGTTGACCAATATTAAATTTATAAAGTTAATTTTAGTATTAACAAAATATTTGTTTTTATCAAATTATTTTCAATATTTTGTTCCTACATCATAGCCATGATAAATTTATTTGTAATCTGCTATCCCATTCATCGCACGTGCGCGTAAGACCGAAAAGAATGAAATTATTTTCTTTTATTTTTCGTAATGGTAGGATTTTATAAATAAATAACATATTTACAACAAAAAGAGACTGACGAGTAGCAGCCAAATCCGAAAGCCAAATGACCTAAAGAGTGGACATCCCAAAGAGAAGCCTAGATTACCACAGACCCACTCACAATAGTAATAATAATAATAATAATAATAATAATAATAATAATAATAATAATAAAAATACTAAACTTGCAACGCTAAAACACAAAAAATCACTATTAGTAGTATTTTTGAGCATGTGGTAACTGAGCTACCCGACTCGGGTCGTTCTCAAAGGAAGGCTCTTCGGAGCTTCGTTCACTACCTAGTCGTCAAAGTCACATAACCGAAAATAGGGTCCTACACATTCTACTCGCTTAATTGGGGATGATTGCACGAAATTAAACTACTAATCTAAGAGAAAATGATGGAAAATGCAAATATAGAGAGAAATAGCGAAACTTTGGTCTACCGGAATCTCCACGACTCAAGAAAAAGAAAATAAACAAAGAGAAAACATGCGAGCATAGTAATCATAGGTAATCTAACACGAGCTTTCTACACTAGATCATCACGTTTTAAGCAAAATCGAGATCTCTACACAAGATAAGCACATATAGATTCCTAACACACGTAAGCAAGCAATAAAAATAAAGCAAAAACCTAGAAATGAACATACACACAATTCAACAATCAAACTCGAAGTAGAAGAGCCTAAGCTAGGTACCTACTCTCTTATCGCATGCTTGAACGAAAATAGTGAATAAAGCTCGAAACTTGAATAAAAATAAACTTGCCGGAATTTCGTCGGAAAATTGAGTCATGGACCTCCCAACCAAACCATATAAAAAAGAAAAGAGAGAGAAGAGAGAAAATAGAGAGGATTTCCCAACTTAAAAGTTGGGAAATGAGGGGTGGTCTCCAAAAATATAAAGCACAATGTCTATTTATAGCTACACCTCAAAGACACACTAAAAACACGCACATTTAAATAAACACTCTCGAGGTCGCGGGTCATTTCGCGAGTCGCGGGCACGGATGGCGCGAGCACGGCACGAGGAACGCGCGGCGTGGCGCGAGGGGGATTGACACTCTCGATGTCGTGGGGTAATCTGCGTGCGTGGGTGTGACGTTGCAACACTCGCGAGCTCGCGAGTTTTTCTGCGTGGCCGTGAGTCTTGTTGTCGCGACACTCGTGATGCCGCCAGCCTTTCCGCGAGTCTCGGGCGTCCTGGGCGTCGGGCGTGAAGCTTCCGCGAGGTCGCAGCTTGGGGCGCGTGGTCGAGAGTCTAGTCAGTTGTTGATGTGCGTCCGCGAGCACGCGAGCTAAGGTGCGACTGCGGGAGTGCAGGCCAGCAAGGTAAGTGTCATCAAGGGCTCGAAATACTCGTATTGGAAATGGCTCGTAACTTCTCGGAAATGACTAAAAAGGTTCGTCTCTCGGAACTCGACTCGACTCTTCTCATTCGACCTCTAAATAATCCTGAAATTTCACTAAAAAGCACGGAAAAGTACGCCAAAAATATAGAATAAAGATAAAAACAAAGAAACACACAAAATACGATAAAATGGACCGGTCGACGCTAAAACGAATCTAAAAAGACTAAACTAAGCACATAAAACACACTAAAATAAGCACAAAAACACAATAACAATCACATAACACATAACAAAAAACTACACCTAACCTAACATAACTAAAACCTACATCATTCTCATGATTCAATTGAAGAAGTGATCACTCTCCAAAAAATCTCCCAATTCCTTCTCTCTCTAAAACCCTCGATCGATGATTGCTCGTGTGCCTCTCCTACTTTCGACACCTGACTTCCCTTTGTCATGTTTGGCGCTCGGGCTGACACCATCCTGGTTGTGAGTTTCAAGGAGGGCTTTAGATGTTCCCGTCTCCGAGTGGTCTTCGCCGCTCAAACTGGCGCCATGGGGAGAGTGGTGTCTATAGGTCCACCAACGAGCTTGCAGTGGCGGTGGCTGTCTGCCACGTACCTTGCGGCAACCGGCGTCGAGTCTTGCGGCCTTGGTCTTTCCCATTTTCGGCCTTTCCCTGGTGTTGGGAGGGCGGATCCTTTTGGTGGTAGCGGTGTCATGGTGCTGCTATTACCGATTTTTGCATGAGGAGGGATGTGACGCGGGTCTCCCGGGGTCGACTTTGCAGGGAACTGTTGGGAGGGATTCTGGTCCGTTGGTCCAGATCTAGTTAGTTGGAGGTGGAGTTTCTAGATCCCGTATGTTTGGCCGTGGATTGGGTCGCTCGCTTTGGTTGTTCGTGTGGGTGCTGGTTTGTGTGGAGGTAGTTCGGGTTGCGTCTGAATGTTAGAGAGGGTCTTAGTCTAATTATTAGGACTTTTCTTGTGTTCTTGTGTTTTTCTGTGTTTTATATTTGTTTGTGTTTTATTCTTCTATTGGAAGCCTGATTATCTACTTGTGGGAGTTTAATGTTTTGTTTTGTTTCATTTAGTTTTTGTGTTCTTTAGGCTACGAGTGTTCTGTTTGTGTAGGCCTCTTTGTAGTCATCTTTTTTAGCTGATTCAATAGGCCTGTTAGCCGTTTGTAATTATGTGCTTATTTAATAAATCTATCGTTCTAAAAAAAAAACTAACATAACTATAAAAATGTCCTCCTCACTAGTCTGTCAGTCCAGCCAAACTACCACTACTCCAAACACCAAAGGCGCCCACCCAACAGGCAGAAAGCATGGCCCGAGACTCGAATACAAAACTCCTTTCAAACGATGACTAATCAGATCTCAACCAAAGTCAGCTAAACACCAATGGAAGAACACTCGCACCCACTCCTCCTGGATCGACGACTGCGAAGGTTGATTTAAGTAAAATACTTGATAAAAAAGAATGAAATTTGTTTACGAAAAAAAAAAATATTGGACCAATATGGTAAATGCCCTTAAAAAATTAGTGTTAATTGTACGGATTAAAATTAGCATTGGCACAAAGGTACTGTTCACTAAAACCCTAAACCCAAGAATCCCAACGACCATCAGCCCACAAGCAAAGCTACATTGCACACAACCGCCATTTCTCAATTAAACTGACTCTAATTCCTTCCACTACTGTCGAGCCTACGCCGCCAAGAACCAATTCTAACAAAATTCTGGTGAGGAGGAAAGAGGTGACATCAAAGGGAGGAAGCACATGAGGAAAAAGGTTGACGAACGCATCAGAACTCTCATTGAGAATGGCGTCAAAGCCCGACATCGCTCCATGTTCGTCATTATTGGTGACAAATCACGCGACCAGGTATATCTCTGTTATTTCTTTCTTTTGCGTTTCATTTTTCATGTCAATGTTTAGTGAACTCAGTTCATTCCATGCCTTTTATTTTCTCGAGACAGGTTGTGAATTTGAACCATATGTTGCGCAAGTCGGTGGTCAAGTTAAAGCCGACTGTATTATGGTGCTACAAGGACAAACTCGAAATCAGCAGGTTCTCGCTCAAGTTTTATCCTTATCAAGTGGAAATATCCTCTAACTTATTCTACTTTGATGAGGGGGAAACTGATGGGATTTGAATTACTGATTTTGAAGAAATACTTGGATGGTGTGACTGTCGGATGCTGTATGCTTATACCTCTGACATTGTTCTGATGAATGATCTTAAAAATAAGGAAAATTATTAAGTCAAGTACTTAGAGAATGTTTTCATCCTTTCGTTGGTAGCTTCATTGATACGAAAGCAAAAGAGTTGATTTTGTAAGTGGATGTAAAAGTAGGTCTGCGTTGGTTGTATGGATTGAAGATTAGCTTGAATTTTAGAATATTTGTGTAATATGGACTAGATTGATTAATTTGTGAGCTTGAGACAGAAACCTAGGAGTTTTATGTATATATTTTTTTGATTGAATGAATCTATGTGTTTGTAGCTCGTGGATTAGCTGTTAGACTGTTAATACTTAATAGTGCTTGATGTATAATAGTTGGTGGTTTATATTGATTACGGTTATATTCTGCTATTTCCTTGTGTTTCCTCCGAGGTTTTGGTCAAACTAATATATATCTTGGGCTTTGTTAACTCGTATGACTTTGTTCTAAAAAATGAAAATGCATGTTGTCTCTATGTCTGCCTACTATTTCACTCAGCATGTCTCCATATCGTTTTTGCATTTTATTTCCTGTTCGGTCTGAATACCTTGATGCATCTGTTTGTATCAGAAAGGCTAGTTGATTTGATTTGATTTATTTTCTTTTGCTATCTAGTCACAAAAAGAAGCGGATGAAGCAAGTGAAGAAGTTAATTGCGAGAGGCTTATTCGAACCAGAGAAAGCTGATTCTTTCTCATTGTTTCTTGAAACAACAGATATCCAGTATTGCTTATACAAAGATTCTGAAAGAATTCTCGGTAACACGTTTGGCATGTGTATATTGCAGGTATAATTCATCATTGCTGCAAGTCATTTAATTATTATGAAATTATTATGTTTTAATTATAAGGATATGATTCTTCTCTCATTGGGATTTTGAGTTAATTTTCTGTTTATTGACTCTAGGATTTTGAAGCTTTGACACCAAACCTCCTAGCAAGGACTATTGAAACGGTTGAAGGTGGTGGATTGATACTATTGCTGCTTCGGTCTCTTTCTTCCCTCACTAGTCTTTACACAATGGTCATGGTATTGTCACAATCTATTCTTAAACTTTTATGAGAATTTCAATCGGATAAACAAATAATGAGACAGAAGAGTGAGTTAACAGATAAATGAAAACAATGAAGCTGCTTTCAAAGGGAATAAGAAGGATGCCACAGTTATTTCATGAATATGCATTTCATTCTTCTTTCTTTTACTTTTGCTTTTGTTTGTACTGTGGTTTGGCACTATCTAAATTTGACTAATCTCAGGATGTTCATGAGAGGTTTCGTACAGAATCTCATTCTCAGGCTGCTGCTCGCTTTAATGAACGGTTCTTACTTTCTCTGGCTTCATGCAAAGCTTGCATCGTCATGGATGATGAACTAAACATTCTACCTATTTCATCCCATATAAAATCGATCACCGCAATTCCAGTTCAAGAGGTAAGCGGCTTGGATATGGAGTTATGATTGTCTAGAGTACTTATTAGTCTGATTATTGTTTTTTCCTAAATCTGTTTACAAGTTACTCATCACGTACCACGTTCATCACTTTTTACATCTTCCCTCGTGATATTTTTCCAAGTGAAAAGTTTATTAACATTTCTTCTATAAAGGATTTCACTCATGGCGGCAGTGGAGCCTATCATGCAATTCTTCTTGAGTTGGGAACTTATTGATTCTGGAGTAATTTTTATCATAATTATTAAGAAAAGATGATCATATTGGAGCTTTTTATTGTTTTGGTCTTGAAAGGATTCTGAGGGGCTTTCAGAAGCTGAACGAGAATTGAAGAATTTGAAGGAGCAATTGAACGATGATTTCCCTGTCGGTCCTCTAATTAGAAAATGCTGCACTATGGACCAGGTAGTGTTTGTTTGGATGTATGTATCAATTTGGTACATTGTAGTTTGATTATTTATTTGTATACTTTTCTGTGTGCGCGTAGGGAAAAGCTGTTGTTACATTCCTTGATGCAATTCTGGACAAGAACCTTCGAAGCACAGTAGCTTTACTTGCTGGTCGTGGACGTGGGAAGTCGGCTGCTCTTGGTCTGGCAATTGCAGGAGCTGTTGCAGCAGGGTATCATGAAGATAGTATACATAGTTCAGATCCAATTTGTTATGTTGTCCTTCCCTTGATCTTCTTGTCTGAACACTGATCCAAAGTAATTTGCTCTTTTGGTAGGTATTCTAATATTTTTGTGACTGCACCAAGCCCAGATAATCTGAAAACTCTTTTTGAATTCGTCTGCATAGGATTCAATATGCTTGAATACAAGGTATTACGCTACCCCTTTTTTCTACGCAAGCAAAATGTTTTGCATTATGTTTTCTTGCTCATTGTTTCAAGACTACTATGTCAAATCTGTTTCTTGAAGCATCTAACTTTGCTTCAATTGCCTTTCAAGTTGGACAACGACACTTTTGGATTCCTCATAAATCCACTTGTGTTCAAGTTGAACAAAGTATATAGTATTGTGGTTGGTGTTGGAGATTGTATGCTAACCCGCATATGTTTTCAGGAGCACTTGGATTATGATGTTGTGAAAGGCATAACACCTGAAAATAAGAAAGCAACTGTCCGCATTAATATCTACAAGCAGCACAGACAAACTATTCAGGTAACAAGAGTATCACTTGTCTAGCCATTTTAAATAGAGTACTTCTTCTATATCATTGGTCTTTTGGTTACCTCCATGCTTTCTCGTGGGGCTTTCTTTTGTACACATATAATTTGTTCTATGAGATAACTTTAGGCTTGGTGGATGACTTTGTTCTATGTCGGTAGAACTAATTATTTCTTCATTTTCTGTATGGTAGGTGGTGTCAAATCGAAGATCATCTAAAGATAATTTTGATATTATATATATAAAAAGGGAATAGCTAATATATGTTGAGTTTCATGAAGGAAAAGAGAACACATGTATGGCATTAATTTGTTCACTTGAATTTTTAGAAAGTAGAAAGTTTTTTGTCAGACATTGATAAGTTTTTAATATATGGTTAATAATATGGGAAAATATTTTATCACAAAACTTTTCAAATTATATGTAGAAGATTTTTCTTTAAAGTTTAAGAGTGAGTCTGGGCTGGAAGTTTGCCAATTCTATTTATGTAGGTTATACACACGCGCACATACACATAGTGAATTGCATTTTTGGTCTTTCATGTTCCAGAAACTAACAAAATAGTCCTCCACGAATAGCGTTTTTGGAAATCGTCCCATATGTATACAACAAGGTTCCAATTTCATCCCCGTATCTGCCGGAAAATTTGAAAATCGCCGGATTTGTCCATGTGTCATCCCAGCTGACCAAAATTGCTGACGTGGATCACATGTGTCGTCTAGGTGGCCAATATTGCTAATATATTTTTAGCTAAAATTATAATAAAAATGTCACATCATTAGAAAAAACAAACTGATAAATCATTAAGAAAATGAAATTATTAAATTTAATTAGATAAAATAAAATAATTAATTCTTCTAATTTTTTTGTTTTCTCTTTCTTTTATCCTTTTCTTCCTCTCCAATATTCCTGTTCTGTCCCGCCGCATTCGAAATCCTTTTCAAGCGTTGGCGCTGCCTAGGCCATCCTTTGTCTTCCCTAGGGGTGTAAACTAGCCGAGCTCGGGCCCTTAAGGAGCTCGAGCTTGGCTGCTTTATCAACATTAACTAGTCGAGCTCAAGCCTTAACGAGCCAAAATTGAGCCAAACTGTAGAAAAATACATCAAAATCATCTTTTTGATTCTTATCGAGCCGAGCTCAGCTCGTTAACTGAACAAGCTGTAAATGAGCTCGAGTTTGATTGCTAGCCGAGCGGAGCTGAGCTCGAGCCTTCAGGAGCCGTCGAGCTCACGAGTGGCTCATTTAACAACTCTAGTCCTCCTCGAGCCCTTTTAAGTCCTCCACCTTAAAAACGAAGATGTAAGTCCTTCAGTCAGGGGCCTAGCCTATTTGCACAGGAGTTCGTTGAGCTCAAGTGACGCTTGAAAATTGCTTTAAACCTCATAACATGGAACAAGCCATCGTGAATCACAACAACCACCATTGGGCCTATCGTAGCCGTACACCACCACAACCACAAAAGCCCACCCAAACCCAAAATAAGAAAACCGTCAAATCCCAAAAACCATAATTGAAAACTTAAATTGGTTGCACGAAGGAGGTCTGCTTTGATAGAAAATTAAAATTCGTGTCGACCATGGTTTGGTTACTTCTCTGGCAACAACATTTGTAGATCATGAGAGTAGCATGCTCGATGAGTTTGAGCATGAGCATATATTTCAACAGAATCTAGCGGCGGTACCTGCGGTGGTGACAGCAAAGCAACGACAACACCTTGGTTTGGATCCAATTGATTTTGATTTCATTGTGGTGCCGTAGACCATTGGCTCAGGTGGAGAAGAATAAACTCGACTTCCAGCGCTGACGATAATGGTCTGATGGATGATGGCGTAAGAAGTAAAATCATGAATAAAAGAAAGAAAATAAAAAGAATATAAGAAAAATACTTTTTAAGATTTATTGAAAAAAATGACTTGAAAAATATTAAATCCACATTGGCTCCAAATAAATAATTTTGGTCACCTTAAAGGACACAAGTGTTTTTCCGGCTACACTTGGATGACACGTGTGCAAATCCGACAACTTTCGAATTTTTCGGCGGGTCAAGGATGAAATTGCAACCTTTTTGTGTAGGAATATTTTCTTAATTATTGAAATATACAATTTTGCTCTCTCTCACTATATATATATATTTTCTTTAATTTATTTATTTTCTTGTATTATTATTTTCCTTATTTTGTGCAAGACTAAATATTTTGTGCTCGTGATGTCCCTCATATATAAATGAAAAGTTTTCCAAACTTACGTGCTATTGGTGCTTCATATTTCTATTTGTCAAATTATGGTGCTTCAGAGCAATTCATTTAGATTTGGACTTTTATCCATGCTATTCGGACTTTTAAAATTATAAAACACTTGATCAACTTAAATTATAGATATATTTTATAATTTAATAACATTTGTATTGGTTTTCTATACATAATATATTAAACTAATAATTTTTTACGATTTTCGTTTTGATATCCATATTATTATATCAAAAAATTATATTTATTTAAAATTAAATTATCTAATATATCATAGTTGGAAATAATAAAAATTTTAATTATTAATTAAATTTATCTATCAAGTCTATTATATGATATGCGCTGGAAAAATTGTTATAAAACAGGACTACCAAATCTTAGTGTCATTTTTAAATAAAAACATTTAAAAAATATATATATATATTTGAAAATTTGAATAAAACTTATATTTATTTTAACTTTTTAAGTATAAATTTTTTAATTAACAGGTGCTATGGAACTACTAGTTAGTGTTATTCACCGGCGGATTGTGGAAAATGGATAATGATGGCCTGTGGCGCCGTTATAACTGCCATCCTTCACAAATTTGTTTATTATGGTGGTTAGGCAAAAATCCGCCACGACATACTGCAATGGCTAAAATTTGATAACACTAAATGAGATCATTTTATTTGAGGCACATGCCTTAATAATTGTCATAGTCAAATGCCTAATTATTGTCATTTGTGCAGTATATAGAGCCGTGTGAACATAAAAAGCTCTCGCAAGTGGAATTGCTGGTTGTTGATGAAGCAGCAGCTATACCTTTGCCATTAGTGAAGGCCATGCTTGGTCCGTATCTTGTCTTCCTCTCGTCAACTGTGAATGGGTATGAGATCTTAAGCCAATTCACCAGTGTTGCAAATTTCACATGTATGCTGGGATTTCTCTAAATTAAACAAGTCGCTATCCCTTGTTTTACTTTCTTGACTTTAGTTTCGAGCAGTAGCTCGAGTAATGATAATTCAATATGTCTATTTATATATATATATATATATCTTTTTTTAACTCTATATTTCATAGCTATGAAGGTACCGGAAGGTCCTTATCCTTGAAACTGCTGCAGCAGCTCGAGGAGAAAAATCAGATTTCGAGTAGAAGCACAGAGACTATTAATTCAGGTTTCACGGTTCTCTATTTTTCTTGGGCTTACTGTGAGGGATTGCTTATCTGATGTGTTTTTCCCAGTCATTTACTGATTTTTCTATTCTTTTGTGTACATGGCCGTGTGAAAAGTGTCCTCTGGTTTTGGATTGCATTACAATCTTTTGCAACCATAGTAAGCTACTAAATCAAGAAACTAAATTCAGAACACATTGATAAAATATTGGGAGTAGTAATGTCTGAGTTAGCTATCTTCTTCAAGTCATGAATTAGAATAAATAGCGGCCATGGAGGTATGGCGTGTCGGTTTTAAGCCTGACCGCCATGGTATGGCTGCCTTGTGGCGGAATTTCAATGGCGGTTCCATTGAGGCAGCCATGAGCATTGTGGCCATGGCAGTGTGGCGCTGATGGCGTAAAATGGCTGTTTTCTATCAGATTTTGGGCTAAAAAGAAAGGAAAAGTAATTGGGCGGGCCAATTTTGCCAAAATCAGCCCAGATTTGCTGAGAAATAAAAAACAAAAACCCTAATTGATTGCGAGAAAGAGGAAGGAAGGAAAAGAGCCTCTCCGGCGAGCCCGGTTTACGGGACCTACCATCTGGCAATCCAATCTCGACCTTCCCTATGGCAACCATTATTCTATTTTTCGTTCTTTTTTCCTGATCTGTTTTGGTTTTTACTGTTTTCTCTATCTTCTTTAATTTCCAGATCTCTTTTATATCCTCGTCTTTTAGCTGCCTAATTTATCAACTTTTATTTATTTGTTTTAATATTTCCTTTTTTACATTAAATAAAAAGTTAGTTTCTCTTTAATGTTCTTTACTTTTTCAGATTACTTATTTATTTTAATTTTCAGCGCTCTTTTGTTATAAAACAAATTTTTACTGGCTGCCCTTTATTTTTAAACTCTTTATTTATTTATTTTGCTTTGATTTTCAGTTCTTTCTTATGTAATTACTGTTATTTTTATGTCTTAATTCAGTTCTTTCTTATGTAATTACTCTTTATTGTATTTTTTGTGTCCGCCTTAACTTTCGCCATTTTCCGCCACGCTATCCGGCATATATATGTGGCGGTTTTTTGTCTCACCGCCACCATCCATTGATAACACTGATTAGAAAATCGTCATCAGGTAAATCTATGCCATGAGAGAAGAGAAATCAGAAATGAAAAGTGAAGCTAGTGAAGGGTACATACGAATAGTGTTATGGAAGTTTAACTGGCTATTGGCCCTGTTTGTTACTTGGTGGATTGCAGATTAAATTTGCTGATAGCGATAGCTGATTGAATTAGCAGCTTTGACTAATTGATTGGATAAGCTAATTGTCCTTTGTTGCTGGTTTTAGTCATGATTATTTATTTTGACTAGTTTTCTTCCACAAGCCTGTGAAGTGTTGTAATTAAGTTTTTGTGATCTACTCTACTATGTGTTATGCAAACAGCTGTGATGGCGCAAAATAATTCTCTTTGACTTTGAGACAAATTTCTTGAGGACAATTTGTTCCACCACGTTCTCTTTTTTATTATCAGGAATTGCAGGATCTAGTTCCAAATAGTTGCAAAAGAATATTTGAATCCCTTTGGGAGTTTTTTCACTGTATCTGGTGAAGTTAAAAATGTTGTGTAAGCCAGTTAGAGATATATGAAGGATCAAAGATGACAAAGTATGCCGAAATTTACATGATCTATGATTCTAGTGCGAAATTAATTATCAGCGCAAATGCCATTTTTTTTGGTTAGCACTGTTTGGTCCTTTTTCACTGGGTAAAAGTTGCTTTCTATGAGTTGACTGATTGCTTAGTCATTTCATTTTTTATATCCCTTTTTTCTTCATGCTATTGAATTAATTTTACTTTATAGATTCTCTCTATGATGTTTACCAATGAGAAATGCTTAATATCAATATATTCTTATTGTAGGCCGGCTTTTCAAAAAGATCGAATTGAGTGAATCTATCAGATATGCTTGTGGTGATCCAGTTGAATCTTGGCTTAATGCTTTGCTCTGTCTGGATGTTACAAACAATATCCCTAGTATCAGCAGGTTGTACTTTATCCGCTGATAATTGAGGGAAGCTTGAGATGTGTCCTCTCTCTATTCACTTACTTGTCCTCTTTCTTAACAGGCTACCCCCACCAAGCGAATGTGACCTCTACTATGTAAATCGAGACACTCTTTTCTCCTACCACAAGGACAGCGAATTATTTTTGCAGGTAAATCCTCATTTTATTTTTGCGTAAATGCTTTTATACTTTTTCTTCTATTCTAATTTGCTCACAATTCACATTGGTTCACCATTACTTGTGTAGAGGATGATGGCTCTATTTGTTGCATCTCACTACAAGAACTCTCCAAGTGATTTGCAGCTGATGGCTGATGCTCCAGCTCACCACTTGTTTGTGCTACTTGGTAGAGACTGCTTCTGTTAATAATAAATGTATTTTCTTACTTTCTTCCTGTCGTTATACTCACTCATCATTTCTCAGGTCCTGTAGATGAGTCTCAAAATCATCTTCCCGATATTCTGTGTGTAATCCAGGTATTCCTTTCTCTTGAGACAAATGTAGAACTTTATTTTTCTTGTGATATTACAACACTACAAATTGACATACTTTCTAGAACTGAATGCTATGATCATTTTAATAGTATTAATTTGCAACAGTTTTAATGGTCTGTTAATTTTCATTTTTTATTCATTGTAATAATATATACACATATTATCTGTTATCACACACATTTAATTAACTGTTGCTAATTGAAACACATCCAACTTGTTAGAAGTAGAATGAGCTTCTATTTTAGCAAATATAATAGGTTTTTAAGTCCAGTCAAATGGAGCATGTCCTTATCTGAAAGTTGTAGACAGTGGCCATTGTCCTTTCAATTCCTTGTAGCGATTTGAATGATAAGATGCTACTGCTCTTTGTTTGCGGCATATAATAATAATAAGGGGAAAAAGAGTAACTCAAAAGCCTGGGAGCTTTTCAATTTTGATTCATTTTAAAATTGCCATCTGATATGCTATATCTTGTCCTACTCCCTCTTTGTGACTAGTTAGCTGTCTCAAGCAGCACTCTTAAGATCTACTTAATTGCAAAATAAAATTCTTGGTCATATTGGTAATACATTTTATTAAGTTTATGTCTAGATCTCTTTTGAGGGGCAAATTTCTCAAAAATCTGCTACGAAAAGCTTGGGTAGAGGTCATATGCCAGCTGGAGATCAAATACCTTGGAAAGTTTGTGAACAGTTCCGTGACACAGTATTCCCCAGCCTGTCTGGTGCTCGCATTGTTCGCATTGCTACACATCCAAGTGCAATGAGGGTAGATACTTGTGATAATTCACTCGAAGTTTGAAAACTATTTCCTCAACCCTTCCTCACTTTAGTTTTCTTGAATTTGCAGCTTGGATATGGTTCGGCTGCTGTTGAACTTTTGGCAAGGTGTGCCTCTGTTCCTTGATACTTGACTTTCTTCTCATCTGGTCAAAAGTACTTTTTTTTTTTCTAAAAAAATAAATAAATATACATAGATATGCATGCCCACCCACCAAGATATGCATACATAGATATCCATGCCCACCGACCAATAGAGTTTTTTCTTTTTCTTTTGATGATGTTGGATTATTTTTCAGTTGTCCTTTAAAATGATAACTTTTAAAGGAAAATGCTGGAGCAACTTGTGCGTGAGTTTAAAATTTCCTATTACTTCTTAAATATGATATGATATATCCAAAGACGACAGAAAGGCTCCTTGTACTGACAGTATAATAGGAAGAAGGATTTTTTGTCGTGTTAAAAAGATGTAGGACGTTTTTGGAGGATTTATATGACATGTAAGTTTTTGCAAGTATATGTCGAGTTTCTGGCATTAAACAGTGGCTACATATAGGTACTTTGAAGGTCAACTCAGTCCAATATCTGAAGTCGATGTTGAAGATTTTCAGGAGAATTCTCCAGTCAGAGTCACTGAAGCAGCTGAGAAGGTGTTTTTTCGTATTTGTGTATACTTTGTTCTGTATATATTATTTCTTTAGTTTACCTTTGCAGTTTTACCTCTCTAAAACTCTATGCAATGAGAATGCACCTCATGACATCATTTTTTAATATCTGGCTAATTGTAGTTAATTAACATATTTATACATAAATTATTTTTAAAATATAAAAAAAGTTTGTAGTTGAAATTTCAAATAATTTATAAAAAAATATATAATTATCTTTGTTTAAAATAACATATATCATTCACAAGACTTGCTTATCTTAGGTTATAGTATTTTTTCTAACTCATATTACATGATACTGGTTATCAATACTGAACATCAATTAGGTTTGATATCTAATTTTTTTTTCATTTAGTGTAGTTATTTAATATTCCTTTTCGCAATTAGGATTCATAAATAATTATTTATTTATAAATGTAGATATTATTACTTTTTTATTTCATATATGCGATATAGATGTCGAATCAAAAAATATCGAAAGATGATATTTTATATATGCAATATGGATATCAAATGAAAGATGATCAAAGATAATTAATTTGATACATTATATCTAAGTTATGACGAGTGATTTATAATATTAAAATCCCTAGATAAAAGTCTAAATCTACGTGGACAACTCCAAATCACAAAAAGTATACACACAGAATTACGGAATATCAAAAATTGACATATAGGATTATGAAGCACCACGCATACACTTAGGCGAGGAAAAATCAACATTTATATATACGGAGAGATTTGTCATCAAATAACCTTTCCTGAATGAAGAAGCACCCTCCTAAAACTAAACTTAAATTAATATCATAGAAAGAAACGGGAAACTAAAAATAAAATAAAATATAATAAAACATAATAAATGAACCTTAAATGTTTGTGAAACCACTGAAAAAGCCTATATCTGCGACAAAAAAAAGGCTGAAAACTAAATTTGGGGCCGTCTGACAGACTGGGCGCGAGCTTTTGTCTTCGTGAAATCTGTAACTATGTTATCAATGGTGGATCTGTGAGCCAAAAACAGCCGTATATATGTGTGTGTGCGCTTCTGTGTATATATATAATATATATACGTGTGGCAGTTTCCATGACAGCATATTGCAGAAGGCGTGGTGGAACCCAAATTGAAAAGAAATATATACGTGTGTATATACACAGAAGGCGCTTCTGTGTATATATATAATATATATACGTGTGGCAGCCGTTTAACAACACTGATCATAGTGGCACTAACAATTGAAAAGAAATTCCACATGCATTGAAATAGGTGCAAACAAATGAAAAGATTTGAGATACCACTGAAGTGGTGCGGGAAATGTAATTTTGTTCAAAAATTTTGAGGAAACACTTGGCAGTGCTCGTTCTTTTAAGAATTTAGTTTGCTATAATTATAATCATTTTATACCTCTACATGGGATTGCAGGCGTCTCTGCTTGATGAAAATATAAAGCCTAGGACTGATCTTCCTCCACTGCTTGTGCCTCTTCGTGAGAGGAGACCAGAAAAGCTCCACTACCTTGGAGTATCTTTTGGGCTTACTCTCGACCTTTTTCGTTTTTGGAGGAGACATAACTTTGCTCCTTTCTACATTAATCATTCCCCAGTTAAGATTGTTTTCTCCTTTTTACGTTTCAGATTTTGATTCGCTCTACTTTGTTGTATATTTCTTTCTCAAGCATATTAACTATTAGCTCATGAAGTGCTTTTCCATGTCAATGTTCAGAATCAAGTAACCGGCGAGCATACTTGCATGCTTGTGAGGCCATTAAACAATGATGACATTGAATCTAGTGGGTCTGACCCATTGGGGTTTTTTAGCCCGTTTTATCAAGGTTTTTCTGACTCTTGTTTATTGAAAGTCATTTCTTCTGAGTTTGGGGTCTGTCTTTTTTTTTTATTCTCTTAATCAAAGACCAATTATTCCAATATTGGCGTCAGTGTTCAGGAAGAAGTTTACCAAGTATTTAGCCCGTGCATTCCGTGACATGGAGTACAAGCTTGCCATGAGGTACGATTATTGCCTTTTGTTTTGTCATCTATTGAGAAGATTCCTCTTCATTTTATTTTCATTTATTGTGCAGTATATTGGATCCAAAGATCAACTTCTCAGAGTTGGATGGTGCCTCGTCCTGTACAAGTGGAGATTTGAGTTCTATCAGTGGATCATTGTCAGCCTATGGTATGGCGCAACTGGAAGCATATACAAGCAATCTTGTTGACCATCACATGGTATGATCTTCACACTGATGATGATGTTTTCATCTGACGTCATGGCTGAAAATGTACCTCTTATTGCAGACTGAAGACTTTGTGAATGATCTTGCACTTGCTTACTTCTGGGAGAAGATTCCTGTTAGCTTGTCATATGCCCAGGCTTCCGTCTTGCTCTGCATTGGTTTGCAGGGAAAGGATATCTCAGGCATTGAGGTATTCCGTTTTTCTTCAATAATTTCCTCTCTGGTGTAATTTATGAAGGAAACTGCATTCTGCTACCCCAGTTTGAAATGTTCCGATGCTTTAAGATACTTTTGCAATTGATTACTCTAGAAGCAGCAATGAAAAAGTGATGGAGGCATGACGGAACGTGGCATGATATATTTCAATTAACTGTATCATGTATTCAAATATACAAATTACATCAATATGTAAAGGTGTTAACATTGATTTCTGATATAATGGCGGATGTGCTAGTTGTATGGGACCTTAATTTTTTTCTGATTAATCAATATTTTAAAACCATTGCACGTTAGGTAACTAGACTTATGAAAATTTAGTTATATGGGAGCTCACTGTAATTCCCTTATCAAGGAAAAGGGGAAGTTGCCGTTATCAGTAGCCAATATTTTAATCCCAAATATTTTTTCTCCAATAGTTAAATGGTATGGGCACCGATAAAATAACCCTTCATCTGTAGTCTTTGATTAGGTTGTTGAAAGTTTCCTCCTGTTTGGATTTCACCTTTATAAGAGCAATTTTTTCTGTAAATATTTGTTCAACCGCTTTTCATCTTTACAGGATAATGTCATTATTTATCTTTGCTTCTGAGGCACTTCTTTTAGCGTATATCTGTCATCAGGATGATATCTTGTGAAGCCAGTACCATGAATCTGTAGTTTGAAATATTTTAAGTATCCATATAATTTATTCCATCTGGGAGCACTTCAATGTTCGATCCCTTATTGCTTTTGGTCTGCAGGCGGAGATGAAACTGGAAAGCAATCAGATACTTTCTTTATATAAGAAAATTATGAAGAAGTTTTACAATTACCTAAGTGGTATTTCATCGGAAGAACCTCAACCGACTGCTTCTCGCTTAAAAGATGTAAATGAACTATTGTTTGAGTTACTTGTTGGAGTTCATTCTTATCTTTATTCCTACCCCACCTCTCCCTGTACTTCTTTAGTTTTTTATTTATTTATTTTAATTTATTTATTTATCTTTTTTCAGATTACAATGGAACCTCATCCAGTATCTGTCGATGAAGATCTCAATGCTGCAGCAAAACAAGTCCAGGTTACCCGACTTTTTCAACTCTGTTATTGGACCAGTCTCAATATATTTGTGTTAATTACAAAACTATCTCTAGGGTTTAGTCTAATATCCTGAAAGTTGTAAATATCCATTTAGATTTAATTTTATCTACCCGCATATTGTATCCTCAAGATAGGGTTTTGGGTTAGGTAGATACAGACACCATCACATATTAACATAAACTTTAGGGAGGCCTTTCTAGTAATGAATGATAATCAAAGTTTTGCGTCTTAACAAGGTTTCAAGAACTTGATGGGTCATCGATTTGGACTGGTGAGGCTATATTTTGATGGTCGGATTCTATTTGGACTTAGTGTTTAAATTTATTAATATTTTTTATTATCATATATTAATTGAGGTAATACATTTTATATAAAAACCAACGTAATAAAACTTGTGTGGCGCTTGCTAGGTGATGGGGTGGGTCTAGCACCGAGTGCTTAGGTGGGGATCATGTAGAGCAGAAAAAATATTAATAAATTTATTTATATTTATTGTAATACATAATTCTTAAGATACATTACTTTTATGTAATGTGATGGTGCTTGGAATGTTTAGGATGAGATGAAATCGAAGCTAGATGGTCAACTGGATCCAGAGCTCCTTCAACAATATGCCATTGTCGATAAAGAAGCTGATTTTGAGAGTGCTTTGCAAAATGGTGGTAGGAAGGTACTCTCTGGCGGTCTAATTAGCGTCAAATCCAGTAAAAGTAAGGTTGAGAAGAAACACGTGAAACAGTCAGAGATGGAAAAGAGTGGGAAAAAGAGGAGTAAACATGACCGTGGTTCCAAATCAAGCAAGAAGAGAAAGGCTTGATTATTTTGGCGCTTTTTAATAGTTTGTATTTATATGTTCACCGGCATTACATATAATTCACACCTTATCTGATTTTTGATATTGTGTATTTTGTCTTTCTACGTGACATGGTTGTGTTTCCAATCGTACTGTCATGATTCTCATCTTGGTACTGGTTTTAATTAGTAGGAGGAATTGGTTAAAATACAAAAATAGTTACTGTTTAGTTCTTACAGTTTTTGGTGAAGCATCTGATGAGACAATTTAGTACACAGATAGTTTCAGAAAAAGGTTTGTGTTTTATAGTAACTCAAGCCACTTCCCTGAAAATTGTAGATCATATGCATTCAGATAAGCTGGAAAAGTAACAAGATTGGAAAGTGGGGCATCCTTACGGATATTCTATGTTTTGACTTTTGATGCATTTTAGAGAAAAGAAACATGGATGGTAATAAAAAAAAAAAAAAAAAAAAAAAAAAAAAAAAAAAATAGAGAACTAAACCAGAGCACAGAAATTCATCCATTATAATTCTGGAATCAAACTATTTCAACATACAAGGCAAGTACAAAGACTTGAAGCCCACGATGATAACAACAATTGCATGATGCAAATATACATGGTCTATTATCTATATTAACTTGTTCTTTCACATCTCGGCAGCAAATGATTTGCCACAACCACAAGTCTTGGTGGCGTTTGGATTCTTGAAGTTGAAGCCTCCTCCAATGAGAGCATTACTATAGTCAAGTTGCATACCATACAGAAACAGGAGGCTCTTTGGATCACAAACTGCATCACACACAAATAAATAAATAGAGCATGTAATCATAATACAATTTTTAGATCAAAATTCAAGCATAACAACCAACCCTCTCTTACTTCCTAATCAAACTGAAAATTAATTGTTTTCTTTTATCTCAATTTTTGGAGGATACTTTTATCTAGTTCACCATCAAACTTCCGTGTCAACCATTTATTTTTCCCTATATCCACTACTGCTTCAGCTGAAATACAATATTTCTGATGACAAATTCTTAAATAAAAAAAATTTAAAAATAAAAATAAAAATAAAAATTGACAAGTAGCTTGAGAAAATCATACTAAGAGCATCTTGAGTCATATGCCAAAAAGTGGGTTTATTTTGACGGCACATTAGAAAGTAGAAACCCTAAACTTTTATACATCTTCCTTCCCAATCATAACCTTTTCATGGGTCCGGCTAACCAGTTTCGTTTCACCTCATTCTTTATCCTCTCCCCTTAAAATAAGCTCAAACAGAACTTTGCTCTTCAAGAAAATATCTCACTTCAAACCCTCCACACCTCAATAGTGTACCTTAACTATATTCCCCTAAAAACCTCAAAATTTTAATGTTTCAATAGGTATGTTCCCTATGGATAACAATTTCTGTTTTCTTACAGTTCCTCAAAATGTTCACCTGAAAGAAGACATTTGCAAAATCATATAGCTTTGTTGGAAACCAACAAGGAGTTTTGCCCTCATATACAAATATCAAGCGCTAGTTCACGCTCATGGGCAGAAATAGCTAAAAGAACAATAGCGTGACAATAAAATCCAATCTCTGGAACAAAATTCTAAACAAGAGGTTTACTTATCATAAGACATCTTTTGTCAGAAAATCATCTTCTTTGTTCATACTACCAAATTTAACACACACACACACACACACACAGAAGTCCTAAAAGCTTGAGTTAATTACGAAGAATAACTAGAAGATTTTGAAAATTATCAGAAAACCCTGAAGTTTTGATATCATCTTAAAATATTCTCCATTCAAAACAAAATACATTTGAAAGAAATATAAATGCAATTCATAGAAATATTATCACTGCACCTCTATAAATGTTACTCAAGATAATCGTAAATTAATAAAACAATTAGCGTTTTCTTGTAATTAGCCTGAACCCTCAGAGAGATTTTTGCAAGAGTTATGTTATAGCACAAATGGTTTACATATTTGGTTGACAAAAAAAACACACTTCACATCTACCACTTCACCCATCCCATCATCCCAAAAGTCAACCATCAGTCTTGCCAACAAATTCAGTAAACCAATAGGTCGATCACTATCAAATAATTGAATAAAGAAAGAAATATACCTATAACCACACCCTCGTACTCCATGACAGAGTCATCAGGCTTAGCATTGTCTTTGCTCTCGAACTCCATAGTGTAAGACATGCCAGAACATCCACCTTGTTTAACACCAATTCTAAGACACAGGTCTTCATTATTGTCAGATCTCATTTTACTTAGGTGCTTTAGAGCAGTGTCCGTCAGGGTAATAGCCGGCGCCAATCCACCAGCTGCCAACGGCGCTAGAGAAAAAGAAAAGGAAAAAAAAAACAGAAAAAGCAAGAGAGGAATAAGCTAAAATGAACTCATCGAATGATCAAAGTTAGTACATATTATCATAATCTAATTACAAATACCATCATTAGCATCATAAAAGCACAACTCGTAAATTATACATAGTAAGTGGCATATGAAAGCTCATCAACAAGGTATAACAATTGGATTCATTTTTCACTATAAACTGCATCTGCATGGGAAGTTCAATTGTTCAGATGAAACCATTACAAATATACTAATCCACCCAATGCACCTATGTTTTTTGAAAAATATGGTATTTGGGCATGATATGATAGTGGCTCTTTGTTACCTTTACGCCCAATCAAGAACACTTGGCGTGTATGCTATACAGAAAGATAGTTGAGCAGAAGGGTCAAGTTAAAGAGAGCAGAAGAATCTTAATGCATCATTATGAGGGGTATGAAGGTGGTTTCCAGTTATCCTTATTGTAATCGTTCTAATACAAAGCACTCACTCTTAACAAAATAAAATGTGCACCTGGTTATGTGTGCACATGTAAAATCGAGGGAATTTTCATCTTTCATTAAAAGATATTGCTCATTATCAGTTTCTAACTAAATAAACTAAAAATTCCAACCACAACATAAACTTAGGATCCTCAAGACACTGAAAGATACAACTTTTCCTTCTATAGGGCTCATAAATGATTTTTTCATTCATTCTTTCTCCCCTTTTTCGCCCCATGGATTCTTCGCTGCCCATTTCGCTTCTAGATCCATAGAATTCACCATAAAATTGCTCGCCGAAGCTAACAAAAATAATAATAATACAAAAAAATCTTATTTGCCATCATATGCATTACTGCCTAAAGTCCACGGGCATCAAAAAGGGAAAAAAGAAGTAATAATACATAAATTAACAAATCGCATACATAAGGGGGGAGAAAACCTTACCTTCCACAGCGGCTGACCTGATCGAAAAAAGGGGTTTCTTGCGCTTGAGAAATAAAGGGCAAAAACGGAAAGAGACTGAGGAAGAAATGGAAACTGGAGCTGGGGTTGAAGATTTCTCGAAGGTGGGAGCAAAAGAAGATGGCAAAGTCTGAGAGAAAGCCATTGTTCAGCTACGACCCCACTTTCAGGTAAACCCAGAAAGAAGAACGATGTCAACAATCAAGAGTTGAAGAACTGAAAATGGCGAAAGTTGTGCCTCTGTGTGTTGTGCGCGGCACGTGAGGAACGAGGGAAGTTTTTCTGGGGTTCGCAGCGTTCTACTATTTCTATTTGTGCAAAATACCGAATATTATTTTTTTATCTGTAAATTACACAAGCCACAAGAGTCAACAGATTTTTTTCGTCATTTATTATATTTTTTATATTAATTCAAATTTATGGGGTGTATTTAATTCAAACTTAAAAGACTTTTCAAGATTTTTTAATCTAATTAATTTTGATAGACTTTGTGAGACTTTAATGATTTTGGTGAACTTTATAAGATTTTGATAGAATTCTTACCAAAGACTATTTCAAACTTTCATCATGTAACTTTTAGAACTTATTGAAACTTTTATACATTTGTAGTATACGGGGAAAGGTTACAGTCCCGTTATAGTATGGTTCTGTCGGTGTTTTTAACAGTAGATTATCTACACATCACTAATCTACATGTGTTACGGTTAAAAACATCGACTGAACTATACTGTAACGAAACTGTAGCGTTCTCCTGTAGTATAACTATTATATTTGCATGAAATGTTTATAAACCTTGCATCATAACCAATATCCATAAAATCAAGTTAGTTTTTTTTAAAAAAAAAAAAAAACTAAATTGAAATGAATTTTGATTGTAAACATCAACTATTCAACAGGAAAAAAGAAAAAAACAATGTTTTGCAACATTACAGTTGTGTGTAAGTAAAAGATGAATAAATAACCTATAAAAAATTGTGAATCAACCTTAAAATTGTTAATAAAATTATGTTATTACCGAACACAACTCAGTTTTGCTCGTGAAAGCTCAAGCTCGGCTTATTGGTTAAATGAGTCAAGCTTGAATACCTAATCGAGCTTGTTTATTAAACAAGCCAAAGAGAGTTTGTTCACGAACTACTTATTTTTTAATTAAATATTTTCATAAAGTATACAATCGTGTTGAACTTGTTTGCAAAGACATTTTGTTTTCATTTCAGAGTTTTAGATTTATTAACTAGTCAGGTCGATATGAGCTTTCGAGAGCTTCAACGAGTAGAACTCGAGCCGAGCCTTATGTTCGTTTAGTAAACGAGCACAAACTCAAAGAAAAATTTTCCGTCTTGAATGGAATGACACATAATAAGATTGGTCATGACATACTTATGTGATTATTATTAAACTTTATTTTGCTTTATTTATTTTTTGCATCATGCTGTGGTATTAGAAAAATATTATTAAGATACATTTTACAAGACAAAAAAATTGTCAAAAGACAATGATGAAAGTGAAATTCTTAGCAGGTGCAAACTATATAAACATTTGAATTTAAGAAAGTTCCAACCGAACGCAATAGAAATTCTTTCTCATGAATGAATTTTCTGCAGCTCAAACACCATTCCATTGGTGGAATCCGTCTCGACCACGAGAATTCAAAGAAAGCAATGATAGAACAAAAGTGCGCATTCAATAAAATAACCATAATAAACAAGAAATAAAAGACCATATCACGTTAAACATTTGCCATGAAAAAACAAGTTATACAAGCTATCAAGTTACATAAGTAAAATAATTAAGTATGAAAGTAATATAAGATATATAATTGTCTACACTAAACACTATAGGGA